TAATAGCAAAGAAAGAAAAATTATGGTTAAAATACAAGGGAAATATACAACGTATGAGCCATGGATAGTACATGATGAAAAAACAAATAAAAGGTCCGGCAGAATAAAAAAACCACAGAATTCAAGTATATCTATGTTCAAACTGATTAGGAGAAAATTAACCGAACAGCATAAAGATATTAACCAGATCAATTGCTCTATCTCAAAAGTTGAGATTTTCTAAGAACAGGCATAATTTAGTAATACTACCAAGCATCCTCAACAAAAGAAATTGCTGCGATAGTAAATAGATTTTTCTATAATTCATACCAATGAATTAAAGGCATTTGTCACAGCACTCCAGGAAGATCAATAAAGTATATGGCAAGGCCATTAGAAAAATACAAAAGAATATAAAACTGCAGCAAGATTACCACAAAAGTGACAATCTCGGTCCAGACTATAGGCTATGCATCACATTATAAACTTTGGAACACCCATTAGCAGCAATGCTCTTAAGAAAAATAGTGACGACGCCAAAAAAATTCTCCCTCTTATCAATAGGAAAGTGCATAAAAAATTGAAAAAAAAACCCTATATATTTAAATATAATCGGAAAATCAGTACAGATAAGATGCTTCATATCACAACATGTCTTCATTTGTATGAAATAAGATTATACAATAGAGAGGAAACTTTATGCACTAAATGACAAATATACGCACCATAACATAAGTATCCTTTTCAGGATCAAACTTGGTTGTAACTTCTGGTCCCCAGCTTCCAAACTGACGGAGGGGAAGTACTTCAAAACCTGGCAATGAAGCTTTGGCCCTACCATGTAGAGATGATCAGAGCAGTTAAAACTTAAAATGCAAATCACTGGCAAGGGATCAAAACAAAAAGGAAATGAAAAGCAAATTAGAAAAAAAAAAAAGGATACCAAAAAATCTTAGGACACACATATTGTCATGCACCCAACAAGGAGATATGGTGAGAGCTGCCTCCCTTCCCCTCAACCAGATTTTTTTGCTCAAGAACAAACCTCAATTTCATGGATTATAAACATTTACCCATAACTCCTTATCTCACAAGTTGACAATTGCAAGAAGACCTGCTATTTATAATCCACAAAGTAAACCTCTTAATCATCTAATTAAACTGGCTGGTGAATTAGATGCCTTTCTAGAAAAAAATACTGCAAAGTAATCAAGTTCACGCAAGATCCCTAAATATGCAGACAGTGCTTACAATTCTTCATTTACTATGGATGATTGTAAGATGTACAATATCAACCTATAAGTTCTTTAATCCACACAATACTTGGAAAAAACTGCTCATATTTAAATCATCACCCAAAGAATAATAACAAGATTTCGAACTAAAACATGCTATAGTTATAAACACAGTAAAATCATGAAGGATAAAAATATCAAGAATTTGGAGGACATGTCAGTAATCAATAAAACTTAATTTCAGAAAGAAGGAAAAAAAAGGCTGCTTGAGTAGGAGAGCAAAATGCAAAAAGAGAGCATACACTTCATCAGGTTCTCGAACATCAATCAATTGAGCTTCTTTGGCAAATGTAGGATCTTGGATTTTTACATGGAGCTCATCTGCTTGAATTTCCCCAAGTAGAGATTCTTCCCTGGTAGCACAATTTACAGATTCAAAAGAAACAAATTCATGGAAAAGTACGAGTAGGTGCCAATACTGCCTTCTCTTTGGCACAGAAATCAAATGGAATAGGATTCTTTAGCATACCTCTCAGAAAGAACTTGCAACAAATGCCACCCAAATTTAGTTTTACACCTTACAACTTTGTTCAAAGGGGCACTAAAAGCAGCTTCCTCAAATTCTGGTACCTGTGACACTTGAACATTAATTATCAAAGTGATCGCCAGGTAAATTTGAGTTATTCGTATCTTTGGTGTCTTGAGTGTGAGTAAAGCCAATCCATCCATCTACACTTAAAATGTTAAGGAAAATCATTGAATTCATTGGGCAGTTCATTAAAACCTGAGCTTCCTAAGGTACCAGGACTTGCTTGCCAAATTTGCAGATGAGGCCACCAACTATGATATAACCACTAAACTTATTAACAGCATGCTCCTACCTTCCTGGCAAGAAATGGAACAGCAATGCAACTTAAAAAACCATACTCTCCTTAAACCATGTGTTCCCTGGTGAACCTCCCATTAGTGAATACAAAATACCAACCAGGAATTAAGGAATTAATTTAAAATTTTCAACGCGCATGAAAATGAATTTCATCGCAATCCACATACCATTTGCCCTTTTCTAACCCAGCCAAGCATCCCCCCTTCTTCTTTTGATGGACATAATGAGTATTCCACTGCAAGGTCACTCAAATCCTCTCCTCCTTAGAATGGAAAAAACACAATAAAAAAATTAGTTTTAGAATAAATCTTGTATAATAGTTTAAACCGCATAACACACACTCTTTTCTATTTTTTCCAAAGAAAGACAACCTTTTATCGTCAAATAAATTATCAATGCAATCTTGATATAAAAATAAAACATGAATTCAAGAAGCAAATTCTGCATCGTACATCAAATGTATAATAGTGACTAACCTCCTGAAATTCTCTGTTGAAGCTCCAACAGAAGCTTGAGGTCATCTTCTTTAACAAGCAAGTGCTGCACCAATAACTCTCTTCCACCTCCAGTGCCGCTCCCAGAACTAAAAGAAGCTGAAACAGAGCACAAAATAATCAAAACTTTCGATGCAAAGTCCCATTATGCATGTTTAACAGACCAAAGTAGGAAAAAAGAAACATAGGGTTTTTGATAGAATTGCCCAGATGTACCTTTGGGACAAGATTGGTGACCCAACAATGGTAAGAACCTTTTGAAGGAGATAGGAGATGAACTGGGTGGTGCTGTTTTTGGAAGGAAATTATGAAGTGGAGCAAATGTAGAGAGTTTGTAAAGGTGAGGAAGTGAAGAAGAGAGTGAGAGGGCGGGAATCAGACAGATTTTGAGAGAAGAGAGTGCTGGTGTTGCTACCGGCGGGATGTGAGTTGCTCTTAACATTGCTTCTTTTTGGTCTTTTTTTTTTCAAGCTTTCAGAGTTAGAGAGACAACAGGGAATTGCTCGTGTCACCCTGCAATACAATGGGTCGACAATACCAATGGAAGTGATGAGTTCGAAGGAAAAAGAATAAGAAACAGTGATCATTGTATGAGCCCATTGAGATAATAGGCCCATGCTGACAGGATGTGGCCTGGTTTAGGGGCTTGTTCGAGGAGCCCATACTCTTGCATAATTTTTCCATGTTTCTTGACCTCCATGAACATGAATCCCATCCTTCCTTCGGCTATTATGAATGGTAGCGGGTTAATTAGCACAACATTATCTATTGACGATAATGATGTCTATGTCGAGCTCACTGTCTGTCATTGTTGTCTCTTGTTACACCATGGTTGCTACAGGATACGTTGCAGGACCTTTTTGGTTTGTAAGCCAGGCTGATTACCAGACATTTTTGCAAAACTACCAACGTTTTAACTTCTCTTACACTAAGCGAACAGAGCTTTCTATACGCCTCTCGTCCTCTCCAGAACAGCTAGAAGCCTCGTTTGTAGGAACTACTTCATGGCAGGGGAATGGCCAGTAAGAATATAGTCTCATATATAAAGTGTTGAATCGTCATATTAAAGCCTGAGATAATATGCATGAATCCCGGAGAAAATAGAATTTTTAACACAGACATCTCGATCCATTCTAAAATTCTCAATGATCGTGCCGAAAAGTAGGTTAATTTATATCTTTAACACCTGAAATGGTTTGGTGCCAATATGTTAGAAGAGATCTATCTGTATTTTATAATTTTTTAAACATCTGTTAAGTTCATAATTTCTTCTTCCAAAGTATAATCTATCTCCTTTCTGCTATTCTATGTTATTTCGAAGAAATTGAAATAAAGACAAATAAAAATTTATCCCAAGAACAAAGCAAACTCCCATCCATCTTAATGTTTACCAGTGTCCAAATACCATCTAGTGTCAAAAAAATAAATCTATCGGAAAATTATTCTTGATATCTTATAATTTAGTTGATTTTACATTTGTCTGACGTGTTTTGAAAAATTAGGGCAACAAAAAATTTCAAATCTAATAAAAAAAAAACCAAAATACACTCATATAAAAAAACCAAAAAATTTCAAAACCCAAATGACAACATTTTTCTCTCTCGTCAATCGATTGAAAATCTTCTCCAGAAAAATTAGTTTATCTCTCCTCCCGGACCCAACTCAAACAAAAAAAATTAGTGATTGTAATTGATTTTTCTCATGATTTCACAGTTTAGTGTGATCATTTCTTCTCATTGCTGGAATCTCGCACAAGCTTCATCAAAATCCAGATGCGAAGCGGCAAAACCCATTTCTACATCTCGAAATTCAAGATTTCTGTTATACATTTTGGTAATAATGGGTTCAAGGAATGTGTACAGGGGTGAGTAAGAAGATAGAGTGGATATAATTCCTACTCATGAACAAGATAAAGTGCATTGCCTTTTCTTTGAATTTTTAATTTGGTTTTGTATATTCTTGTCATTTATTTAAGAATTTTGGCGTTTACAAGAACTGGGTCTTGAACTTGATAATTTGAGGTGGTCTTTAGGTAACGGTAAATTATATTCACTGGACTCCCCGAAAGGAAGGCTGGGTATAGTTGAATACAGATGGTGCTGGTAGGCGGCAGAATACAGGCTTGAGACGGGGTAGAACCGGTTACAAGGCGGGGCTTCTGGAAGGAGGTGGATTCTCAATCAGTAATGCATGTCGTCATCACAGGTAGCAGAGACAGCAAGGGTCCTTGTGACAGGATATTATTTCGTTGAGTTGCTGTCCCCTTCTGTTACTGTGAGTCTGACTTCTCTTTCCTTGTTAGTTAAGACTTCCAAATTTGAACAAATTTACAAGCATAAACAAACTGAAGTGCAATAACCTATAAACACTGAGATAGTACTTGCACTAGGAGAACGCTTTTTTTCCCCTAAAATAATAAGGTGGGCAATTTCCCTGAAAGGCCTTCGCCACTGTTCCTCTACCAAATGTTATCTTTGCTCAGAAACTTATCATGGATGTGCATTAGCAGTTTTACATTGACCAAAAAATTGCACTTGCGATTATAACAACAAAAGGAATTACAACGACAATGTCAGCATTCTTCTTCTTCTTTTTTTTCCGATTATTATCTGTGACCAGAAATCCAGTCGACACCATTTTCTGAGGTTGAAAACGTAAATGAAGACAAAAACAACGATGTATTGTGTAATTGGGTGACCAAAAGAAGCTCTACCTGGATGGCGTCCAGGCATAGATGAGCAACCCCAAAACAAGGACGATGGCTCCAGCGACAAAGCCAGTTGGAAGGGAGGATGCGACTCCAAGATATGGCAATGGCAATGTGAACACATACACAGCTATTGGTACTGCCATAGACAACACAAGGGAAAAACCAATTATCAGTTGAATAAATTCGTGATACAAATCAGCATGAGAAAGTGTTGAACGATTATGCTCTGATGATAGCTTCATGGAGTTGCAGCAAACCTATATGAAAGCTATCTTCACTGTATTTATGCGGCAGAATATAGTAAATGGTGAGATAGAAGAGCCATTATGCAAAGTTATTCAAAATAACCTCTCCGTTTACTTCCCAAGTACCATGCCGACAAGTGTCATAAAGATTAAAGGCACTTTTAAGGAGTACGTTATGCGACTGTATTGGCACTTAAATGAAGCCACGCATTTTGATCGAAGTGTTCTTTGATGTCAATGTTTAACATGGATCGTTATGGTGCTTGTTCCCAAGATCCCAAATTGACAGGATTAAGAGTGTTCCTGTGAACAGTAAAAGTGGATGTTCATTTCCTTTAATAGACTAACTAGTGATTCGTGATGAGATATGAAACAGTTTTTTTGTTTTCGAAAAGCAAAAACAGTTGGTAATACCAAACAGGCCCTCAACGATCCTATAACTTTTCTAGAACAGAAAGTGGTATCATTAATGGCCACGTTCGGTCATTCGAGGAAAACAATTAAGCCCAAAATGATGTATGATTGGCTAACGGAACACATGTTGCACAGTTTCCAACCATTCACACTGCATATCATAATGGCTCAAGCTGAGGGCTTTGATGTGAAAAGTTTGTCGCCCCTTCCAAATTCTCCAAAAGAAAAAAAGGGCAATAATCCCATCAAATTACATCTAACATGGGATCCAAATGCAACTATGGTCCTTTTTCTTGGGTTCGGTGACTAATAGGCTTGCAAACTTTTGGATTAGGCTATTGAAAGTTGCAGCTACTCTGATTAGGAAAGAAAACAGAGAGAAAAATACCAGAAAAGGTGGAAGCAAGGCAAGACACAACAGCAGAAGAGATCTTGAGGAGATGCAGTAATGAGATGTTAAACCCCATGTTGACAATCACAAACAACAAAGGAAGCAGAGGTGCACCATCACATCCTGTGGACAACCAAGTTTAAAAGAAATAAAATGTTACATCATCATAGCATTAGACTATAACTGTACCATTACGAAAAAGGAAGATTATAAAAGCTTGCCCAATTTCAAACTTCATTCATGTCACAATGCTATGCTCTTCTCTATATTTTACAAAAATAAATCTCTTATGCTTGTTACGGAACTGTAGAAATGAGCCCTTCCATGCATGAAAGTGAGAGATTGAGATGAGGTGTAGCATTATATCACATTCCAATTAACAGAAAGCAAAAGTCTGCAATGTATAAGTTAACCATTCAGCATCAGCTATATGAACATAAATTTAAGAGGATGCCTTTTATAATATGTATAAAATAAATTCAACGAGTTTTTACAATTGTATTTACATTCTATCCTCACATGCATGTTTAACTATATTTTAAATTTTCACCTCTAATACAACAACAACAAAGCCTAAATCCTAAACTAGTTGGGGTCAGTTGTACAGACCCTTTTGCATCATTCTACCCGATACTACACCAAATCCCGAGATATAAAAAGTAATTGCTTGAGTGGCAATCACATAAGAGAGAGAATTAAAATACATCACACAGATAAACATCATAGTTTCAATAAATACATTTACATAAATAACCAAGGCAGTAAAGTAACCTCAATTGTTCAAATCATTCAAAACAATGTTATAATTGAGATAGAACATGAAGAAACTAATTCTTGATACAGATAATACAATGCAGCTTTAATTCCTCTCAATAATCTCTCAAACATGATTAAATGCATCCAATTAAGTTCCATTTATCCAGGTTTATGACACATTATACTGACTTTAGCTGTGACAAACATTGAAACAAAATTAATCGATAAGATGGTGTATTAATAAATCATAGCTTACCACTAGATAAACTGCCAATGTTTAGAAAGCAAACTGCCCCGTCTTTAAGATAGTTTGGAAGCTGACTAAATGGTATACCCCATAATTTCGACATAAATGGTAGAAGAAGGCATACAAACAGTGCCTACAGAACATGTAGACACAAAAAATTTAGACTTACACTCATGCTGCAATCAAAAGACAACTGTTTAAGTGATAGCAAGAACTGAGGATTTTAAATCATAGCTGAGTACCTACTTGGAAAGCAGATCCATAGGAGTTTATTACAAACAGATCTACAGAACCCCCCTGCAATTGATGGAACAACATTGTCTTTATATAACATCAAGATCTAAAAGACAAGGTACTAAAAGAGGCAGAAGTAGTTACTTATCCAATTTCATTTCCATGCATACAAGATAATTTGGCAGCTTCTAATCACCTATGATAATGATCATCTCTTCTTAAGATAGCAACTGAATCAGTTTTCTGTTGCCATTACTGAAAATGAAATTGAGTTTGAAAACATTGATGCCATGTTGAAATTTTACAACCCCCCGCCCCCCCTCCCAGCAAAAAAAAAAAAAACACATCAATAGTGTCTTCAAATGAAATAAAAGTTGAATACAACTTCTTTCTGTTGCCAAAACGTTCCTGATGGGTCTCAGAAACCAAATAGGCACTATCAATTTTAGAACATACCTTTAAATGCTTAGCAGCATCCGAGAAAATGACTTCCTACAAATAAAAAAATTACGGTTCGTTACAGAACAGCTATACATGCATGGAACTCTTAAGTGCAATAAATGTTTAGAATGCCAACCTTGAGCACTGTATCTGCGGCTTGTAAGAAAAAAGAGAACATCATCAAAAGACTCCAGAATATACCAGCTTCCCTTAACGAACCAGCGCTCGGTCCGCTGCAGAAGTACACATAGCCATGCAATTGAAATACTCAAACTACAACTGGTGAATGATGCAAACTGGTATCCTTCTGGGCAATCAGACAATAATTTGTAGATTTCTAAACACAAGATTACAATTAACATGCCTCTCGGTTTGGATATAGAAGTTTACCTTGCCACGGTTATGATTACACCAACGGCAACTAAGAAGCATCCAAGCAACTGGTTGACTTTATATCTCCTTCCAAGAAAAATAGTGGACAAGAGAATCTGCCATACAAGAAAGGTCTGCAGGAAAAGTAATGGACAAAATTAACTACCCAATTGTTGATAATCTACCATTTGAAAACAAGAATGGTTCAGATAATTGTGAGCTTCTGAATTTTGTTAACAGAGAGTTCATCACATTATAGTATGAAGTATACATTTTGCTTTATTATATCAGGATACCTTTTGCATTAAAATCAATTACTTTCTCACTTCTAATGTTTTAGCCTTCAACTTCAGCCTTCAGCTCTCGAAGTTTTCTTAGTTTAAAGCGTGTTCTTCAAGAATAACAAAATAGTAGCTAAACTGGTTGAACAAAAAAAAGGATTCTACAAGTATTAACCTACCGTCTCAAGAGAAAACAAGCCATCGAATGAATGAGTCTTACCTGAGACAAAATTGGAATTGATGCTCCAGAAAGAATTGCTGATTCGAGGCAGAAGATTACAAATAGAGTGGGTCAGATTCTGACAGAATTTTTACCCGCAACAAACTCATGAAACTAGATACAAATTGTTTTAGTAGCAATCAGAAAAGATAGTGTTAGCAGTCAAAGAAACATATCTTATGCACCTGAAGAAAATTATAAACGTATTGTCCCGATATTAATGTTTGAGAGAAATGTAAAAATAAGAAATGGCATTCTTGAAGTGTACTTCAATAACATATGTATAGAATTCTGAGATTGAGCATCAGATATGTTTTATGGTATTTATATAACAAGTGAAGTTCAATCATTAATGGACAAGAAGCTCATTGTAATATCTCATATCGGCGGGTGAAGATTTGAGAGAGGGTTTTAGATGAGCATGCTTACCTTGACTAGTCAAACACTTTTTGAGGTCATGCGCGGCTGCTAAGAACAAATCTGTGAGGCCCATGGGCCAAAGCGGATAATATCTTGTTAGTGGGGTGGGGTGTTATATTTAGTATCAAACCCTGGCTCACTGGCTGTTCGATGGTGCCAACGGGGTTATTAGACTCCTTAAAGGAGGTGTATTGTAACTAATTGAACACGTTTTGGGACCATACATGGCCGCCAAGAACAAGTCCGTAAGGCCCAAGAGCCAAAGCGAACAATATCTTGCTTGTGGAATGGGGTGTTATACTTGTATTATTTTAAATATGCAGTGTGCATTCGCTGATTCCTTTAAATGAACAAAGTGTAAGAATTAGGCTAAAACAGGTCTGAAATTACAAAAATCAAAATGGTATGCTAGTAGGTGCAGATTAGTGATTCAGCTGAATAGCATAAAAGGATCTATATAGCTAACCCCGGCTAATTTGGGATCCTCCTAAACCATAAAATTTATATTGGAAGCATCACAGTATCACAATGAGGTGAAAAATCATCAGATAATAATGAGACATAATACCTCCAGCTGCCATTCCAGTTGCAGCTCCAAGAGCTTCTAAGAGTCCAACAAGAATATACGGAGCTTTTGGCATAGAAAGCATCTCATCTGTAACGATGCCGGCACGGTGCCGAATATGCAAGATGGTGAAGTATACAATAACATATCTGAAAGAAAAAGGAAAAAGAAAAATATTGAACAAAATAAGATCCATTTGAGTTCATCCTGAATTTTTGGAGGCACAAAAAATTTAATCACCCCTGAGAGCAATGTCATTAATTACATCTAAATGCTCCTGACTTCTTTACTGAAAGCTCCTAAATTTAGTTTTGATTTGTGAATCAATCATAAGAAATGGAGATTGGAAAAATTCAAAAAGGGAGAAAATGTACATCATAATTAATAATGCTTCATTATTAGCATTAGGAACTTCAGGAATAATTAAGAAAATCACGTTGTACATTCTGAAATATGTTTTTCTTTAAACCTTCATGGACAAACTCATACATTTCTTAGTAAATTATCACTCATCTATGCAAAATTCTTGAAACATTTATCTAATTAAGCCAGGGATCCACAATCAATCGTTAATTTCTACGCCATGTCTAAAATTCTAGGAAACAAGAAGACGCATGCTCCACATTTTAACAGTGAGAACCCCATAGTTTTGGTTACTCATTGCCAAGGTACGTATCAATGAAGTTTGATGATGGAATGTGGAATGTTTTCTTCCTTTTTTCCTTTTTTTTTTTTATGATTATGGTTGATAGTTGATAAACCATCAAATATCAATCCCTTCCTTTTCTTCTGTTTTCCTTTTGGTTGAATAAACCACTAAATTTTAATGGGACCCTGAAATTATCAAGCCCATTAGCTAAAGGACCAAAAAACCCAAAAGAAAAGGGTCCCGTCAGGAGGGTTAGCGTGACTTTCAAAGAAGTGAAGGGCATAAGTGCAATTTGACAAATATGAAGTGAAATGCAAAAGTTGTTTCCGGACCACAAACCAAAAGCTAAGGGAGCGGGATTAGACTATGAAATTAGAAGATCACATGGCCCACCCAATGGTGTCAAAGTGCCCCCTTGACATGATGGCGTCTAATGGAGCTGTGGAAGAAGAAAGAAATTGCCGGTGATGAATGATGATAGCTTTTGCTTTCTTTCTGTCATGGAAATCTATGTGGCGATGAACAAACGTTTTCTAATATTATGTAAGGCTCTCATTCGCATTGGACCCACAAGGCACAATTACGTGCACAAACCCATTTTTTCTTTCTTTTTGCAGCTCTGAGAATATCTCCAAGATTCCTAAAGTCTCGTTTTCTTTTTTCTTTTTAATTATTTATTATATAATAAAGCAGCAATAATTTTCACAGAAAGAGAAGAGAGTTCCCAATTCTCCATTAAAGCATGATTGTCACGACCACATTCAAAAGGTGCAGAAGACAAATAAAGCCTCCAGCATCTTCACATTTTTGACGTAGCACAGCTTTTTACACTATTATAAAGCTCGATCATTCTTTCAACCGGGAATATTCTTATTTGGTTCAGAAGGTTGGGCATCCAGTATTATCGCACACAAGAGTCAAAAATATGAAAGATCTAGTCTCCATTAATGAAAATTAGCCTGAAAAAAACCTTGAAAATTTATGACTTATTTATTAGTAGGCCTCGATGGTCAGAAAAATTGTGGGAAGAAAAAGACGAAAAGAGGAGGCTGGTACATTATGTTTGGTTTGCGTGCGAGAAGGGTAAGAAAGGATAAGGAAAGGTAAAGATGGAAGATGAACCGTCCCCTTAATTAGATATAAATGAGGGAAAATGAAAGTGGTGAACTTATTTGTAAAAGAAAAGGTTATGAACTTCATTCTTGTTTGGTTGGGGGATGGGAAGTTTAATTTCATAATTACTAATATATCCTTTATTATTAAGTTTTTACTTTATTAATGAAAGAAATCAAGGAGGCTAGCTTATGACCAATGATATGTTGTTGATAAAAGTAAATATATGCAAAAATAAAATACTTTAAAATACAGCTTTGACAACATTTATAAGATAATATGAAAATTATTCAAACAAGTCCAAATTGAATATAAAATCCAGCAAGTGATCCCGTGTACAACACCCAGCTTGTAAAATAATCAAAATAAATTACTATCATAGCGAATCTCTCAATATGATTGGTTGTCTCGAAAGTTGTACTCCCTTCCCTTCCCTTTCAAACCCACCCCTCAAAAATACGGCGAGAAAATTCAAATGCCCCACCCATAAATTAACACTCCCTAAATGGTCAACAAAAATAATTATAATGTCCTATAACGATGTTGCTATCCCCACGGTCCACATTCATGAACACGTCTTGTAAATTATTAATTCTAAGTTTTGCTCTTAAATTCATGAAGTTATTAAAAAAACCAAGAGTAAAACGTAGTTCATTCCTTTTCCTGCGAAAGCGACTTGAAATGAAGTAATTGAATTCTGGAACCACACAATAATTTGAGGTTATCTATCCAAGGAAAAGGATAGTAAAAAAAATGAAGGGTCGGTGAAAAAGGGTCAAAATACATAGACAGAAACCACACGCAAATGAAGCAAAATATTGAATTGAACTTGTCGTCTTATTGCTCAGTGGTAAAGGACAAGTGTAAATGTGCAAGACATTACGACTGGGACTCAGTCTGTGACACTTGTAATAATTATAAAAGCCCCCAATTTAATTTCGGATCCATTCCCCCAGCTTCTTAAATGTTTATTTCACTTCCAAATATTAATTCTCTTGTGCTATTTAAGAAAAATACTTTTTTATTTTGCTAAATATGCAATCTGGACGTGCATTATTATTGAAAAAAATTATAAAAGAAAGTATTTGAAGACTCGGCACTGAAAATGAAAAAAAAAATGGAATAAATAGACAGTTAGCAGAAAAAAAATCAATTACCCGAAAGTAGCGAGCTGAGCTAGAAAGAAGGGGTAATGCTTGAGAGGAAGTAGAGCCAGCTTATACAGCACCCGATTCCCTACCCCCAACACTACCGTAACCGCCGCTGCAACCGCCACCTCTACCGTTCGGTCCTCCTTACTCCTGCTATCACTCCCGCTTATTGTCCTCTTTCCATTAATCTCAACCGTCCGATCTATACTCTCTACCACGCCTCCCACAGTCTGATCTCCCACCAAGCACGAGCATGGCCCCGCCTTTTCAGCTTCATTTCCACCCCCCGATCGGTCCCCTGGTCCAACTGCCTCGATCATGAATGATCTGGAGTACTGCCTTGATGATCTCAGGACAATTCCTGGCTGTTGGTCTATGGAAATTCGTTTTAGAGGTAGAGAGAGAATATCTGCCGTACTTCGGTTCCTTGATTGTGCCGGTCCGCTTGGTGGCGTGGGCCCCGTTGTTAACCGCCGGAAACATGACGTCATTATGATTTTAAATAAGGATTCTGTGGGTCGAGAAATAGAAGACAGCAGCGAAAATTTGGAGGGAGGGAGAGAGAGATGGGGGAAATGAGAAAGGTTTGGTGTTTATATATTGCTCAGCGAGAGAGGATGCTTTTAAGAGAGGAGAATATTTAACAAAAATAATAATTGAAAGAGGGAGCCATTTATCGTTTGCGATGACAAAGCGGAGGTCAATTCCAGAATGATTCAGCACATGTTTGGTGTGGATTGGGTAGTTTTGCCGTTGGGGTAAAATTTTAAGATTTTTTTTAAATTATTTTTTAATTTGACGATATTAAATATAATTTTTTAAAAAATATCTATATTATTTTAATATATTTTAAAATAAAAAAATATTTAAAAATACTTGTGCACCCTTTTAAAACGATAGAAGTCATGGAGAAGTAGGGTGTTGACATGTAGGCGGTTGTTTTGCACTTGAGTTGTATCTAATTATAGTCATATAATTGGCTTGTATCCCAAACAACACATGCACATGAAAATCAGAGAAAATAAAAATATTATTTTATTTTATTTAGATCTCATAAAATGTCAGCACTGTTCATTAATTTCTAAAACAATAAATGTCCCTTTCCAGATTTTCTCCTTGATCATGCCTTGACACGTTTGATTCAATGGAATAAAGGGAACGCTCTTTCACCGCTAAAAAACGACGGTAACGGTTACTCCGGCGGGTGAGAGGTCGAAGTTCTCGGATATTGACGCGCTGATCTGTGATCGTCTTGTTTGTCTTCTCTGAAATGGCTTTTTAATAGAATTGAAGGGGGGGGGGGGGGAGGGACAGAACCAATCAATCCCTTGAAAAGGGGGGAAACACCAAGGAAGGAGAGAGTGGTATAAATAAATAATTAAGTATAATAGCTACATTTGTCGTAGTCTGGTGGAGGAGGTATTACCTGCGGGTGAATGTTGGGTGTTTCCAACGATGTTGCTTTTCAAAAAATTAAAAAAATAATTAAAATTTTATAAAATTACAGCTCAACCACCGCATGAAACACCCTCTAAATTAACTTGAAGGGCAACCAATGGCTGTAAAAGAAACTTGAACGAGTTCTGCCATGATTAATTCATCTACAATTCTCGATCTAGGCATCCACCTTTTCTAGCTGTTGCAGATGATTAAGTCACCATTCCTTGTGAAGCAGATCATAGAGCTGGATCACTCCGTCCTTAGTCATCTTCACTATCTTGATTTTCAAACAAGTCTTCGGCTAGGTTATACACAATCATGCCAGGAAAAAGCTTCAGGAAGTCGTCTTTTACCTGATCTCTTAGTTCTGGGAATGGAATCATCCCTTTCAAGATCACATGAAAAGGCAAAGATATTGGTGGGTCGGCAGGCGATTGTCTCGTTTCCTCGTATATGTCCATCGCCTCGATCTGGGGGCAATCCATTATCCAAGAAGGCCCTTATGTCCCCAAGGGTATGCTGATCTAACAAAACTTCCTCTCTCTTCAAATCTTGCCAGACCTGCTCTGCTTCATCTACCTACTTGTCTCTTGCGAGCATTAAATATAATCATGTCCCTGAAAGAGAACATGTCTGGCCGATGATACCATATTTCTTTGCGCAGGACATTGCATAGCTGAAGAACACACACAGATCCTAAATCAATAAAAATCGCATGTGCACGAAAGATATGCGAAATACTTGTAAACATCAATGCAAATTAATACGGCAGTGTGAATATTTTTGCCCTTGAAATAATTGGGCTACCATATTGTCAGGGGAGAGAGAGAGAAGAGAGAGAATTATTCCAAACAAAATTTTGGCTTCTGATCATCCACTTGTAGCTCACACAAGAATAATAGAACGTCTGTTGAAATGTATCATGTTGTCCAATAAGATTGTGAAAACATTCAGAAGGAAGAGGTATTATCAAAGCACTGGGAGAGTCAAATGCCTGCATGTGCATGACTCTCTGTCTCTTTTTTCACTAGTTTCACAACTGCAGGCTTGGCAATCCATGTAATTTTAACCTCGTCTAAACTGAAGAATTTCTCATATCCATCAGAAAATTCAAATCATTGGGAAAGTTATATATAAAAGGACCTCTATTTCTAGCAAATGCAATGAGCATCCTGTCTGTTTCATAAGTTACTCTGCATCCTTGAATGATGGCTGGCATCTTGTAATTTTTAGTAGTAACACTTTGCAACTGCAGTTAATGTTCATGAAAAATGCCAAAACTATAAGAAAATTGTCATTAGTTACATCAGCACATTTGTTTGGGGGTGTTTGGAGCGAATTTCAACATTTTTTTTATTATTAAAATTTGAATTTTTAATTTATAGCAGCCACACAGTCATTTTTGTTTTTGGTATATGGATTTAATGAACTAGTTCAAACCAAAACTTCAATTCCAAAATCTTTTAGCAGTGCAAAAAACATTATTCATCAGAAAGGGACAGCAACAAATGCCTAAAGCAGCAGATTCAAGCCTGATCTAGAAGCTAAGCAAACACACATCTACAGGAGCATCTTTTCTCAAAACCTGTACTGCTCCTCGAGACCGACCCAGAGTGATGAAAAGATAAACCCACCCACTAAATTAAATGGCAAAACAGATAGCGAAAGTGAAGCAACCTCTGGTGGCCCAGAAGAAAAAAGGAAAATGTTCAAACACCAGGCTCGTACACAAACAAAACAGGACACGATATGCATCCAAATCTCAGGCAGCCTGAGCATAAATTACAGGCCATGACTTTTTACTATGATTAGCAACTACCACCTTTGCATACCACAAAACTCAGCCATAAACTTCGTTAACTAGACGCATCAGCTATAAGCACTCGCTAGATGCTCAGGTAGACTAATACTTACAGAAAATGAACAAGCTTCGTCCATTTTGCCTTGTTTAGCATTCCGGTCGACCGTATTTATAAAAAAATTTGATTTTTTTAATTTCAAATTATTTTTTTATGTGTGTTTTTAAATTCGAAAATAAATTCCCAGCAATGCAGCAAATGCTTTACCTAATAAGTAATAGCACCCATCCATACAACCCAAGAGAATAGAACCAGGTCGTTTTTGACGACAAACAATTCAAAAACCACTTTCCTCTTCGAAAACCAGATCGTTTCTGGCTTCGTTTTGTAGGGGCTTGTAGTCTCTTTTGTGGCTTGTGAGTTGCTTTCCTTGTGATGTTTTCGTGATGTTTCAAGGCTAGAGAGAGCTTTCTTTTTTCTCGGAGAAGGGATGGGGCCCCTGTTCAAGGCTAGTTGAATATGTAAATTAAAAATATTAACATTATTATGTGTTTTATATATATATATATATATATATATATATGCAATGAACAAATGTTGGTGAATGCTCACCGCAAGAAACCATTGCATGGAGGTGGTTGCCAGCCAGATGGCTGCAACAAGGATTGCCAGGCGAAGTTTGGAAAGCAAGCGATGGCGCTTTGCTTGTTTTTAAAAAAACCAGGGGACACTTGTTGACGTCAATATCCTTGTAAAGTGTGTCTTCTGCGAATCAAAGACACCGATAAATCCATTGTTTTTATTTCTCTCTGACATAAAATATAATGTCAAATTATTCAAACAATAGAATCCACAATAAATTAATAAAAAATAAATCAGTTAGTCAATGTATTCGCTCGCACATGTGCGCGTGTGGCTGGTTGGATTGGCAAGCATGCAAAGACAATTGCGTCTGTGTGTTGCAATCAAAATAATATCTGTCAAGAATTCAAAATAATTGTTACCGGAATAACAAATATGCTCTGGGACATTTGCGTCCGATAAACACCTTGAATTTTTATTTTTCTTTCACTACTTGGCCTGAAATTCAACTTACATGATTTTGTTTTCCTAGAGTGTTTATTTTTATATTACAATATGCTTATCAAATTAATTTTTATTAAAAAAAATATCAAATCAATATTTTTTAAAAAGTTTTTGAATGATTTTAAAATAAAAAAAATCATTTAATGTTTTCAATTGTATAGCATACAATATCACAATAATAAAAATACACTAAGAGAATATTTGAAAATATGATGGTTGTTATTTTTTAAAATTTTTTTTTAAATGTATTAAAATAATATTGTTTTATTTTTTATATTAGCACATTTAAACAATAAAAATATCAAAAAAAATAAAATTTTAATTTAAAGTAAATATTTTAAAAATAAAAAATAAAAACTGGTTGAAACTCGATACCAATACACCTAACAATCACCTGCAAGTTATTTTATTGATAAAGCGAGGAAGCTTCTTCCTGATAAAGTAGAGCTAAAAATGTACTAATCTGCCCAGCAAGATCTTCGAATATTTTCCTTTGGTCTATAGTCTAAAAAGAATAGGGAAACGCCCTATCCTTTTGGGTGGCTCAAGGATTTCAGTTTTTTCCCGTAGTCGTTAGCGACGGGGGATTAAGTTTGGTATTGTGTTACAGAAATGTTTTTGAAAAAAATTAAAAAAAATTATTTTTTATATTTTTATTTTAAATTAATTTTTTAAATTTTTTAAGATAATTTTAATATTGAGATGAAAAATAATTTTTAAAAAATACAAAAATATTATTTTAATATATTTTAAAATACAAAATACTTTAAAAAACTACGCTTTCAACTTCTTCCTAACCACAACAAATATTTTGATTCTTTGGTCCGTGAATATATCAAACGATTGGCCTCTTCCCCGGACGATTAACATGGAATCGACTGGTCCCTTTTTGTATTTTTATTATCATTACACGTGAACCGTGTGTCTCCATATTAGTGTTTCTCGGGACTCATGCTCGGTTTTGCTCATCAAGCTCTCTAAGCTGTCCGGTATCCTGGTTTGATGTTGCATCCCGGGTTAAATAGCAACAGTTCCACATATTTTCCGATGGAAAAGCTCTGTCAGCTGATAAAGAGGAAACTGATCGATCGAAGTTGCAAAGAAACCAAATAGATGAGGTCTATAGCTGGTTTTCTGGCCAAGCTGAATTTTCCTAGGCAATTTTACATGAGAAGAAAGAATGTTTTAACAGCACCCTCACTGACCCAGTTTTGCTGTAACTGACGAAGATATCAACAAGCAGAGTTCTACTTTCCGAGTTTTTTTGTGTCCTTGAAGTATCATATCGCCTACAAAAGCTTCTCCCACCTTTCCTTTTCTCCTGTTTCATATACTCTCCCAGCCATGTTCGCCACCATCAAAACCACGTCCAGGACTGGCA